AAATTATATAAGTTGAATATGTTTATAAATATCCTAAATAATATATATAACATTTTTTTTTTACAATGAATGCTGCCTATTGTGTTTATTTCCTTCATTTTAAAGTGTGAATTCTACTTCTACTGTATATACCTTAAGTATGAAACTGTGACTTCACATTCCAGCAGTGTGTGCTATGTACAACAAGTGCTTATGATCCAAGTGTGTTTGTATTTTGTGCAATACAGTTTTATAAACAATAGCAAAGCATTTTTGGTCAAATAGTATTAGTTACTGAGTTAAATAAAGGTACAGTATGATGTATATTAAGTGTTAGATCTATGGCTTTAGTTATCCTATACTCTGTTTCACATACAAAGACAAACTGGTGTTTCTGCATTTTACCATTCACTGAAGTACAGGTAGTAACAGATTGAGGGTATAAAGATCTGCCCAAAGGTAAGAGGGAGAAACAAATTGCTTTAAGATTTTACAAATACTAAAATAATGATCTTGCAAAAATGAACAGCAGGACTCTGTAATCACAATCAGTTATTTATACTGGAAAGAAAACATTGTTGCATCATGTAAAAGTAATACTGTATCTAACTATATTGTTAGCATTTTACTTTATTTTCCACATTACAAAAAACAATTAAAGCATACATGATTTGAGTTTGAGCCATATGTGCAAATATTGCTTTGTTAAAGCAAAAAGTCTCAAAATGCATATACTGTATCTCGCTAATAAAAATGTAATTTAATTAACCCAGAAGCCAAAATGCCTTTGTCAGCTCGTGTTTAATCATGCCTTGTTTTGCAGGCAGCTGTAGGTATTTACCGGCTGATTATAAAGATTGCATGGAATCTTTTTACTGAAAACAGTGGACGTGACATAATTCTATATCACATTCAGTGGTATTAGCATACAGCTATTCATTATATATGTACTATGCATCAAAACTATTTATCTATTTATGCAATAGATAATGTATATGAAAAATAATGTATATGAATTTTGGAATACTGATTATATGATTCTGGCATCATTAGATCATTCATGACTGCACTATAGAAGGGACTTTGACTATTGAATAAGCTTTAAGTCACCTCATTAGGTAGATATGATTGGCACAGGTGATGAGGTGATTTAACCTAATGAATGTCAATCAAGAAAGAAAAACAGGAAATTAACCAATATCCCCAGCTTATCAAGAACAACATATTTGTGCCATTGGTACTTAGAAAGATGGATAAATCAGTGCACCATCACTCTCATTCTGAGTTGTCAGAAATTGTTAACCTGGAAGGCATCACAGCCAAGCTAAGTCCATCAATGACAAGCAATGATCTGGAAGACCAAAAATAACAGCACTGTGCCAAGATCAATGGGAAGGTCCACATCTAATGATCTGGGCAGGAGTGTCTAATCGCCACAGAGCTCCACTTGTAGTGATTGATAGAAAACCTTACAGAATGGTGTTATACTGATGGAAGTCCTGGGACCTCATTTGCCACCCTTCCTACAGGCTCATCTTGATGTGACAACGTTCCAGCAGCTCAACGCATGTTCCCTTGCAATGAGAGATGGGATGTTGTGAGGTAGAAATGTGAGAGATGTTGTGCTGTGGATGCCCCACATGCCAGTTTTCAGCCCTATTAATCATTTGTAGGATGAACTTAGATGATGTGTGGCATGTAGGGCTCAGAGAATAGTGAACAAGCACATGCATGTGCAGGCTTTGTGAGGAGAATCCCACAAGACAGCATCTTCAACCTGATGGTACAGCTTGTATTGTTGTCAGTAGTGGCCATACATGCTACAAGCCTGTGATTTTCACACAAGATCCTCTGTTGATCAGCACTGTTAATGATGTTAAGTAATAAAAGGAATTTGAATTTATTAATGTTTAACACAATTCCAGTGAATGTGTATGAAAATATATTATTTTTAGTTATTTCTTGACAATACTTTCTGACTTTGTTGCAGTTAAATAAAGTTTATTTCTGTGTTGTGTACATATATTATACAGAGATAAACACCTAACTGAGATACTGTACTGTATATAAACCAAACATGAGAATAAGAGGCAATATTGACTTTTCTTTTTGTCAGCCTCAAAAAATAACAAATTATTTCTCAAAAGAAAACCAAAAAATCTATCTAGAAGATTTCAATAATGGCCTGCAGCTTACAGTATATGCAATCCATAGTTTACTTGTATACTTCAGGAATTAAGAGGGAGAAAATGAGGAAAATAAATTAGAATATAACTATTTTTCACATCAACAGAGATAAACAAGTTCTTAGAATATCTATTTAAAACCTATTCCTGCAATGTATTTGACTTTACGTACTAAACACTTCAGAAACAAAGTTCACAAAACTAAATGAAGGAGAAGGAATTTATACACTTCTCTTCTTGGCTTTAAGGCTGATCAGTTTTTCTAAAGTGAACAAGACAGCTACAAGACCACCCAGGGTCCAAATAAAGAAAGAAGCTGAAACAGCTGAAAGCTGTGTTTCACCTGTCTATTTTTCAGTGTAGAATTAATCTTTACTTGTTACTTTACAGCCAACACAAAATGATGCAGCTCCCTACTCATATATTTGTTTATTTCATTGCTGATTTAAGCAAAGATCAGGAAAGCAAACTGCAATTCAAAACAACAGTTTCTTTAATAAGTCTTGTTAATATTCATCAATCTTAACATCTAAAGTCATATCCTACAAAAAATTAGTCATATAAGTGTTTGTGTTGGGAAGCTGATAACTGGCTACAGATGGTATAGGAATAGAGGAAATATGTAGTACTGTGATTGCTATTGTATGGGATACAAGTGACAGTATTATGCCTTGAGTATCCATGGCAGCTAGCTGCTGTAGTTAATTACTGGAAGCAAAGCACAATATAAAGTGGTAAGAATCCAATTGAGCACAAGGCCAAGGCCCTCAGTGTATGTCTTGAAAAACTGTTGTCTCAGCTCAACTTGTACTCCTAATGTCAGACAGCCAAAGACCACACAAAGAATGTGTAACAAAACAGTTCCTATTCTATATGAATTATGACATTTACTGTGATATGCCATTCCCCTCATGAACTGGAATTATTGTTAATTAAAAAAAAAATAGGTACCATATATCAGGATAGGGAAACCACTGTTCATGAATATATGTCATAACAGGGTGCATAGAGAATAAGGTTACGCTATAGTGACATCTGTTTCTCAGGTTCTCAAGGACAATTAACCTCTCCAATTCTAGTCAGTATTGATCTTTCAGCTTAGTGAGTTTAGCATTCTTTAGGACTGTGGAGATCGGCTGCCTGAGATGGCAGAATGACTGGTTTATGCCATGTTGATGGCGTGATTCAAAGATTGATACCTGTCATTGTTGTGATAAAATTTAGAGGGGACACAATTTTAAAGCTCCATGATGTAGAATGCTGTGGTGACATGAAGCTTTGGGTTTCTCAAGTCGACAAATCACAGTGCAGTGGAGCCAACATTTCCCACAGAATGATGTTCCTTTGGACTACAAGAGTCTGGTATCCAGGATGTGCTTCAGGTACAGTAGTACAGTAAAAACAAAGAACTAAGGAAGCATACCACAAAAAAGAGATAAGGCACACAAGCTTGGCAGGTTTCAGTGGACATTTTACACAAAGACCATGTAATGATCTTTAATAAGAGTCTATATTATTAAAGCCATGTTGTATGTCACGTTGTATGCTTGGTTCCCTGGCAAAACATTGCAATTTTTTTCTATCCTTGAGATAACAAAATCACTACTCCGAAACAATGTACAAGTCAGTAACCATACTCAGAAGTGACAACCAAACTTGTTCATTCCATTTCTAATCGTTTAGGAGCTGTCAAGAAAGCTTACTTAAAGCTGTGCCTGTAACAAAAAAAAAACTCTAAACATAAACCTATCTCCTGTCAGAGTGGCCAGTGGGATGTGTCAATATCTTTTTTCTCTGTACATATTATACCAGACAAGGGCATATACAGTAGACCATTTAAAAGCCATGCACAATTATATGTTTCACAGATGCCAATAACAGAAACAAGACCCTTTTTGAAAGGGCTCATTCTGCTGCTAAGAGTCAATAATAAACAGTTCACGGATCAGGTCTGTATTTAAGATGTCTAATCTTTAGTCATAAACATGTCAATAGCCATTAAGTTCTCCAGCTTGGAGGATAAATGAATTTTTAAGAATACAGTGCTGCTGTGTTAGGATGGAGAAACTGCAAAGTGCTCTGTGATGAGATGATAATATTCCTTAGAAAACCTAGTACGAGCCTCTGGTACCCTGATCCCCCTGACAATTGAGTTTTGGCTCATGTTTTTGGCTAAGAAAAACAAAGTAGATATACATTTCTTTCTCTCCTACATCCAGTGAAGAGCTTTATGCAAAGCTAAATAAAGTCTGTCACTGCATAATATAACCTGTTACTCAGTTTCATATTAAGGCTTTGATTATTTGTACAGTACTGTAGATATACAGTATTTGTAGTCTAAAAATGGGTTGGATACAACAAAATTTGTATCCCTAGACAAGTGTTTGTTAAACTCATCAACGATATTTTCTAAAATATTTCTCAGAGGAGGCGTTAATATTCATTACTTGCATTCGTTTTGAACAAACTGATTTCTTTTAAGCATAGGTTAATATCAAAGCGTGCAATTAGCTTGTTATCTTGTACTACACTAAAAATATTACACGCTGTTCACTTTGTACACGCCACAAAGCACTTTAAATCTGTAAATCTGTTTCATAAAAACAATTTAGTCTTCCAGTGACGTTGATACTTTGAGCTCCCTGAAAAACATTGTATTGATCCATGGCTGCTTTGAAAAACACGATATACAGTAAAATAAAGCACTACAAGTAAAATAAGCAGGTGCACCGACAATTTCATTAACATTGCGCACTCTGCTTTTACCAGATTAGCTGCTGTTAGTCTGTTCCAATAGCATCTTAAAAATAACTTTTTTTTCCAAAAGTAGCTTACCCATTTTTGGCAATCTGATATCAGCTCTCTTCTCCGGGTCTACAGCCAGCTAGGACTCGTGAACCAGCTGCTTCTTTGCTAGTCCACTTCTATTCTCGGTTCAAGCCGACCAAACAGATAAAGCCCCCGCAGCCTGCAAGCACACACAGGGGACACCTGCTCGGCGCTGTGCTACGTACAGTAGTTGGGCGAGATTTCGAAGCAACGTTTCCGAAATATCACAATTCTTTCTCGAAACCATTTGCTCTTAAGTTTTCCATGATCTGATCAAGATGAATCAAAAGCGGCGGTTGTTAACGTACCTAGTAATAATAGTAATAATAATTATAATAAAGGTCGGGTTTTGTATTCTACGAATAATTATCTATATATATAAAAATTAGAGTTTGACAAATAGGAAAATAGTAGTCATTATCTTTGTTCCCTTACAATCCATTCATTCATCTTCCGAGTCGACGCGACAATCTGAACTAAAAGCATCCTTGATTAGATAGAATAGCTCTCCGGATGGCTGTGGTTACTATGGTGTGGCTACACTGCGTGCTCCGTGTGTCCAAGTTGCTCTGTGTGAAAAGTATTTGCAGAGAAGCAGCGGTGTGGTGGAATGATTCTCTCTCTTTCTCAAAAGTACGGGCCCACAGTTGTACATTGTTCTCAGTGCCCTCCTCCTACTTCATGTTCAGTCTCCCACACGCGCAGATGTACCATAGAGGGACGCTGTTGGTGCAGTAAATTACCTTTATTTAGAGAGATACATTACTGTATGTACAGTATGTGCACTAATTTCTTCCTTTTGACTACTGTAATTCTTATCATTCCAAATTGATGCATTCATTATTTCTTAAATGATACATAAAAAGACAGTTTAAAAAATAACATGCAGAACATTTTATTTTTTATTTTTGTAAATCTTTGAGAAATATAATTTTATATCTAAATGAACTTCACACAGTAAAGCTACAGTGTATATTCTTTTTCAACAAAGCCTACTTTGTTCAGTAAATTCCTCATTATCTATATCTCATTATCACTTTTCTAACAGGTCTTCATGTTGTGTGTCTCAAGGCTATAACATTAGACATTATGAAACTGTAAAGAAACTATTTTCTGGAAGTTTTAGGTGTATGTTCCACTTAAAAAGAAATATGAAGCTGGGTTAATAAGATCATAAAACAAAATAGTAAATTGAATTTATCACTGGAATTTTGCTCAAAGTTCATTTGAAGTATTTATAATTTTTCCAAAATCCAACAACAAATTGTAGGGTGGCTTTGGCTTTGGTACCTGACAGTACCAATGTAGTCAGTTGAGTTTAGAACCACTGCTGAGTGGAGGGTAAGTGAATCCTTTAAAGGTGACTAACCTTTAAGGGAACTAACTAGAATTCACATGACCAGACCAATTGAAGATATCCACACAGATGACAAGGTCATCTGGAGCAAGACCTTAAAGATAAAGGATACAGTTGCAGTGTGATAGGTGCGGTAGGAGCTACAGTAAGGCTGATATTTCCATAAAGGTGTTTAGATTGTCTAGAAGTATTTGGACATGTCTCTGGATTATGGATGCATCTGGATGCTGGTGATGAGATATACTGTAGATTCACCATTAAGACTTTGAGATCACACAAGAGGCCATCATGCTTTGCAAGAGCCAAACATGTTCACTGAACCATCACAGGACACATTATTGTAACCATTTCTTGTGGAGCAAAAGGAGGGACATGTCTTATAGTCAATACCAGGGGTGCCCAACCTTTTTTAATGTAAGATCTACTTTTTCATTTGCCAGTGCAGCGCGATCTACCAGTGTGAATTTGAAGCTCCGATTTAAGAAAAACAGGCTGTGGGTGCAATAATGATACCCATCAGTAAAATGACAGCAAATAAAAGCAAGTGACTCATGCTACAGTGAACAAGCAATGTTCTCCATTTTAGAAAAAAGAATATCCTGTCTTAATGTGAAGCTTACAAGACACTTGTATTTTTTTAACATGTTGACACTGCTGATCATACCGATGACATTTTTATTTTGTCCCTGTAGTTCGACATTCAGTTCATTCAGCAGTTCAGTCAAATCTGTGAGGAATGCTTAATCCAGAAGCCACTGGTCATCCTCTATTTGGGCATATTCACCATGTGTAGATGACTTGAGAAACTCTTTAATTTCAGGCAACAGCTGTCTGAACCTCACCAAAATAGTTTGTTTTTGAAATCTCCGAACAGCAAGTCAGCAGCCTCAGCAAATGCTTTCTTTATTACTTCTCGATCCATGAATGACTTTTTGTGTTCAGCCAGGATGTGGCTCACATGAAACGATGCAATGGTTGCCACTTTCCCTCACGTATTAAGCCTTCTGAAAACTGACTGCTGCTAGTTAAGATTTTAATTTTTCCACTTTTCTTTTCTGTAAATGACTTTTAGTGGGAGAGTCCACATTATACATTTTGTGTGCAGTTTTGAAATGTTGTTCTATACTTCTCTTTTTCGCGTAGATGCTAACATTGCAGATTTGAATGTGAAAGTACAAAAATATAATCATGCTCCCATTCCTTGTGGTAACGGTAAGTTTTCAGTCTCTTTGCTTCTTCATTTTCACTCAAACACTACAACTATGAAATAGGCAAATAAACTTATCAAACTGTTGTTGAATGTGTCATGGCCAGTCTGTTTCACTCCACTATGTACTGTGGCGAATGTGGGGTTAATGTGGCAATAACAAAGAGAATGTTTTTGGGCAGCACATGCAACACTCTTTATTTATGCAGCTCCTGTAGCCTTTTTTTCAGTGTCAGCCAGCACTCAAGGAAGAATCTTTTATAACCCATTTGACAAGGGTTAAACACACACAAGGGCAGTAAAATGTATGACATTACATGCACAGATCTGAATGAATTTTTAGGCTATTGAAAAAAGTAAATAGTCAAATGGCCCATTAATGTTTTGCCCAAAAATTCTTGCAATCGATCGACTGGCAAGCAATCCACGATCAACTGGTCGATCGCGATCGACCGGTTGGGCACCCCTGGTCAATACTGATGATCGACAATATTTAAAAAAATACTATTACTACAAAGTTACTGTACTTTTATTACCATCAAGAAAATTAGATTTCATAATTAGAAAAAAAAGCAGAAGGAAATTGTGACCAGAGGTTTATTGCTTCTTTATTAGAATTCTAAAGACACAATTTGTCCCCTGATTCTAAGGTCCAAACATGGGCTGAATTGATTACTATGCAGTAAAGGCAATGAGGCTACGAGTGATATAGAGTCTTTGTAGCGTGTACCATTTTAAGATCCCAGTGCTTAATTTGAAGCTAAAAAGCAAACACTTGTTTGTGTATTTAAGATTTGAACAAACTCTTGAATTTGTGAAAAAAATACATCTGAAGGCCAACACATATCACATACTGTAGACCTAATAAAAAGTGACAGCTTAATCTTTTGTAAGTTACGTAATTGAATACAAGACACTCTGATAAATTTGGTTTAAGGTTTGACAAAACAATAAAAAACTGATTGACAGCATACAGCAAAAGGAATTACTGTACAAGGAATATACAGAATGCAGGACTTTCTGAACACTCGTGTCCTGTACATTTTCTAAGCTAAATACTAAAGATGGACAAAACACATTCACTTAGCCCCATTCTGTCACTGCTTTAATATGGCTGGTGGACACACAGTGCCTTTCTCTGAGTAGCTTTTGTAACTTGGCTCTGTAAGTTATGCTGTCAGACTGTTGGTACATAAGCTTTATACAAACTGAAGCTGGTGGTGACCTTGAGAGCAGGTCAGCGCATTTATGTTGATCTGAGATCTTCAAAGGGACAGCACCTGACCATATATTAAAACGTTACAGTAAAGTCTTTCTTACAGACCATCGATTACAAATGACATGACAAAGCACTCGAAAACAAAAAGATTCCAGGGGCTTCACATTTCTTTTTTCTTTCCTATCAAACCCTAGAAATTCAGTATATTTATGACGGAAAACAAGTCTGAATTGTGTTAGTAAAACACTCAGGGGGTTATGCATAAAACCTTGTCTGTTTTGCCATGGGGGTTAAAGCTGTTCTCATTTCGTCATGTTCCTTTCTGATTTGTAAATAGGTTTTATTGGCATGACAGTGGCTTTACTCTGACAAAAAGAATTGAATACCATCAAAAAGCCTCGTTTTGGTGATTTGCATACACTAAAAGTGATCCTTAAAGAAATGATTACAGTAAATGGCTTTAATCGTATGCAAAATTTCACATATAGAGCTACTGCTAGGTATGGAAAACAGTACATATGTAAATGGAAAAATTTTAATGTTGGTTTATTCCATTTTTACGGGATTGGTGTGTCAGTGTCTGACATGCTAATATTTTCATCAAGGCTAATCTAATATGCATATATTTAGTGCTGTCGTGAAATCTTGACCTTGGGATAGTTAAGTTTGTTGGCAGAACAGAGGTTTATCAAATCATTCAGTTCAATTTTATTGGCCTGTACCTCTTAACTAGATTTTCTTATTTAAATGCATCTTTAGAACTTTCTCAGGATCTGGACAGGGAAACAGAAATGGAGCTGTGCAATTCCTGTGCCTGCAGCATTGCCCTGTACTTTAATGCTACTGAATCATTGCAGTAATTTGTGTGCTTATATTCTGAGATAAGTGTATATCCAATGTACTGTATATATACAATGTTAAATTTCCTTGATTACAGTGAGAGCAATTGCTACTGTATCTATCCATCTATTGTTGATTTGGCAATCAGCTTCATTTGACCCTTTTACATATTATTGATCAGTTTTGTAATATTGACTATAATTGTATAATACTGTCATTTTGTAACCTTTCATAAGAATATCATGTTTCGTTTTCAAAAAGCACATACAGATGCAGCCATTCAAAGAGCGCGGTACAGACACGTACCACAGGTAATTGGCTGCGGTATCGCGTATCATGATGCAAGATGA